ATGGCGGATGATAAAGTGAGAGGATGCAAAATTGATAATCAAAGGTCCGTGTTTACGATGGTGCATGGTGTGCATCAGGTATCGCAGCGTAATGGGACCAAATGCACATGAAAGTATAGAGTGTTATCTTTAAAATGCTACTTTACCGAGCTTGATGTGATCATTTTTCACTGAGTTGTTCCAAATTTTGCTAAAAATGCGGTTTTCTTGTTAAATTTGCATAATTCAGTGAATAAGTATCGCATCAAACTCTATAACGAAGTATTTTAAAGAAAACATTCTATACTTTTAGGTACTTTTTGTCCCATTGAGCTGCGACACTTACTTTGTTCCATGCGCCATCGCACGCTCGAACTTTTTTTTAGCAACTTTTCATGTTCTCCTTTTTATCACATTTTGAAAAAATATCGTTGTGCACAATTTCGATAGATCTTTCGAAAAGTACGGTTCCAAAGCTTTCAAATCGTTTTTGAAATTTGCTGCTAGGATATTTAGGTGTCGAGATATTCAATTTCGAATTTGCAACAAATGTCGATTCAGCGAGGCTTAAGGGGCTAAGAGGCTGTGCGGTTCGTTTGGCTCTTTCATAATTTCAATAGCTGTGTTCATGTTTCTCTATATAATAATTTACATAACCTGCACAATATATTCAATGATTTGCATTTATTATTTTGAAAGCCAGGGAAATGAAAGTAAAATTTAATTTAGGTTCTTCATTTTGCGTAATCGATATTACGTAATAAAGATGAATTGCGTTTTAAGATACTGCTGTCATTAGCTCAAATTATGGTTGTAAGTCTTCCCAATATAAACCGCATGGAGTTTTACTGGTAGGAAAAGTTCCATTGTATGTAGTGTGTGTGTGTGTGTGTGTGTGTTTGTATACCACAAGGATAAGGACCCCGTGGTTCGTCAGCTCCACAGTATTTCAAGGTTTCACACCCTCCTTGTGGTGTGTGTGTGTGTGTGTGTGTGTGTGTGTGTGTGTGTGTGTGTGTGTGTGTATGGTGTTACAGCAGAGATAAGAACCACGCAGTTCGTCACTCCTGCAGTAATTAATGTCTCCAAACCCTCTCTGCTGTGTGTGTGGTGTGTGTGTACTAATAGTGAGTATGACTGCCTCGTGCGCGTATTACCTCATTCATACGATCAGGCATACTCCTTATTAGTCTTTTAATTTCATCTTGCGTAATTGTATTCCATTCGTTTTCGAGAATTATTCGCAGTTCTCGCAGTGACTGAGGAGCAGGTACGTGATTTCGTACTTTCCTGCTGAGGTTGTCCCATAAGTGTTCGATTGGATTTAAATCTGGACTATTTGCTGGCCAATCGAGTCGATTTATGCCAACTTCATCGAAGAAATCAAGCACTCTTCTCGCAGTGTGTGGTCGAGCATTGTCTTGCATAAACAAGAAGTTCTCTCCAATGAAGGGTGCGTACGGAACAACATACGGAATGAGTATGTCTTCCACGTATACATCTGCGTTCATATTCTTGTCAAAAAAGTGCAGATCTGTATGAGCATTAGCTGAAATTCCTGCCCAAATCATTACAGAGCCTCCATTGTAGCTATGCCTCTCACTTACCGTACAGTCTGCAAATCGTTCTCCACCGCGACGATAAACTCGTTCTCGTCCATCTGGAGAATAGACACAAAAACGAGATTCATCGCTAAACAGTACTTTGCTCCAGTCTGCGTAAGTCCAGTCTCTATGCTCAACTGCAAAATCGAGCTACGCGATGGTGACATTTAAGCAAAGGTACAGCTGCTGGCCTGCGCGAAAGCAGATTTTGTTCCTTTAATCTTCTCCGAACGGTGTTAACGGATACATTAATGTTGCGGACATTCCTCAAATTGTTTCTAATTTGAACAGATGTTCGATGTCTATCTCTTAACGAATTTGAAACAATAAATCGGTCATCATTGTGATTGGTACATCGAGGATGTCCCGAACCAGGCCTTCTATGGAAAGAATTGGTTTGTAAGTACCTGGCATAAGCACGTTGCACAGTTGACACTGACAAATCAAGTGCCTGAGCAACGTATCTTCGACTTCTGCCATCTTCAATTAAAGCAATAACTTGAGCAGCCTTTTCAGGATTTATCGTCGCCATAATCGACGCAATAATTTCGATGCGAAACAATCAATTATGGTTTAAATTGATGAAGTTGCACGAAGCAATGCGCCTCGAAAGGAAAAGATCACGGAGAAAGAAAAGTCGCACGAGGCAGCGGTTATCGGAGTGAACACGTTCGGAAAAGGAAAATTGTTTGTCTTTGTTTATTGTCTTGGCACATACATTTAAGAAAAATCCAGTCAAGCCAGGCGTTAAAGCCCGGCGCACCGACAGAATCTCAGTCAAGCCAGAACGTAAGTCCGGCGTACTGACAAACTCGCGAAGTCCAGCGTACAAAGAGATAGTGCCACTATCGGCGGTGGACCGTACGAAGGCCAAAAGCTGTACGAAGGCAATCTCTGATCTTCTCCGCGGGCACTCTTATATGCCCTGGGCAGCTCGAACTCGCGTGCGAGCCGAGGGGCTCGCGCGCGCGACAACCCAGATCGCCTCGTCGCGGCGGCTCCGTAGACTAGGAGCGCCAGGGAATTTCGACGTTCAGGTGGCGTCCAGCGACTCGGCATCCCGCGCGCCGGACTCGCGAACTCAGGCGCGATCCTGAACAGCATATTCAAGCTGTGTACCATAATGGCCAATCGTACGGAGAAGGTAGAGAGCTAGGAACAGCTTCGCGAACTAAAGTATATACCACAGTGATCATGTGTAACTGAAGGGTAAAGAATGATAACTTTTGGTAAAAATTAAATTTCCAATTCGCAAAACTGTGTAAATTATTGTATAGAGAATAATGAACGCGACTATTGAAATTATGAAAGAGCCAAACGAACCGCAGAGCCTCTTAGCCCCTTAAGCCTCGCTGAATCGACATTTGTTGCAAATTCGAAATTGAATATCTCGACACCTAAATATCCTAGCAGCAAATTTCAAAAACGATTTGAAAGCTTTGAAACCGTACTTTTCGAAAGATCTATCGAAATTGTGCACAACGATATTTTTTCAAAATGGCGGGTGATAAAAAGGAGAACATGAAAAGTTGCTAAAAAAAGGTTCGAGCGTGCGATGGCGCATGGAGTAAAGTAAGTGTCGCAGCTCAATGGGACGAAAAGTACCTAAAAGTATAGAATGTTTTCTTTAAAATACTTCGTTATAGAGCTTGATGCGATACTTATTCACTGAATTATGCAAATTTAACAAGAAAACCGCATTTTTAGCAAAATTTGGAACAACTCAGTGAAAAATGATCACATCGAGCTCGGTAAAGTAGCATTTTAAAGATAACACTCTATACTTTCATGCATTTGGTCCCATTACGCTGCGATACCTGATGCACACCATGCACCATCGCAAACAAGGACCTTTGATTATCAATTTTGCATCCTCTCACTTTATCATCCGCCATTTTGAAAAAAATGGCCGAGCATAATTGCCATTCAGATATTCTTAAAGAGGACGTTTCAAGCTTCATTTTGCATTTCTGCGCATATTTGTATCTCCATTATTTACCAAGTTAGGATCATTTGAAATTTTGTAATTTTTTCCCAAATTTTTAGTGTACTGGGTTTTTTGCGTTTGAGTGTATATATACATTTATGTATAGTGTTTATAGGTGAAGATACTATAAACACTATCAAGAAACACTATCAAGAGAAAATAAATGAGCCAGCGAATGCGTCATAACAGCTTTAATGCCCTCCAGCACACGGGCACATGGTCAATCTTTGGCCCTCGCATCTCGGAATCGCATTTCTTAGTCTAGTGCCTATGTAGTCTTTTGATCAGGAAACCATAAAAAATTACATACTAAATTTTTAGCGGAATTGACTGGGATCTATTTAATTTGTCCTTTTTTATTTTAATAATATTACAAAATTATAAATTAAACTTAATTTCTGTTAGATTCAAGGTGATATGAATACTATATGCCGGGTCGAAGGACGGATATATCCCAAAGTCAAGCGTGAAAATATCATCCATACAATTTATACGACACTGAATTTTAGAGATATTATGATAACATCTGGTAAATTGACGTTGGAATCCTTTCAAAAGATTAGACGAGATATCGATTCCCTCTTAGGCCTCGAAGTCGTTGGTTATGATGGGTCTGGACAAAGAATAATGGCGATATGCTCCAACAGGTGGAAAATATAATTCAAAATATCGTTATTCAAAGATATATCGAAGAATTTTATAACGATACTTTTGGTGGTTTTTAAATTTGTCATTAATGCAGATACATAATGCAATTGCGACTTTTTCATCCATGACCGAAAAACAATGTCAACTTAAAAGAAATTTTACTAAGTTACCATTACTTTTTTAGAGGAATATCAAATGTTTTAATAAACGACCCAGTGCCCTGGGTTATATCCGACGAATGGACATTCGAGGACGTTGCCACAGTTCCATATGTTTATGCCATATGCTGCTACGCTCTCTATGAAAAAGGAAAGATGAAGAAAGGAGACAAAATTCTCATTCATTCGGGCACCAGCAGCGTCGGCCAAGCTGCGATTCATCTCGCACTTTACGCGGGATGCGAAGTATTTACGACAGTCGGGACTTTGGAAAAACGATAATTTATTAGAGAAACTTTCTCTTCGATTCTGGACGATCATATCGGCAATTCTCGCGACACAAGTTTCGAACAAATGATCTTTCAGCAAACACACGGTCAGGGGGTGGATATTGTGTTAAATTTCTTAGCTGAGGAAAAACTTCAGGCATCTTTTCGCTGCTTGGCGAAAAGTGGCCGATTCTTAGAAATAGGAAAACATGACTTGATTGCTGATAATATCCTAGATAGAATAGTTTTTACGAAAGGCATCAGTTTTCACGCGGTTATGTTAGACAATATAATAAATTCCGTCACAGAAAATATCATATATAATAAAATTATATATGATTATATCTCATAAGGTATGAAAAACGGCTCAATAAAATCGCTCCCGAGGAAAATTTTTGAAAAGACCAAAGTAGGAGTTGCCTTCAAGTATATGGCAGCTGGTAAACATATAGGGAAGGTAATTTCTTGCACAAACTAAAATTTCATGTTTTTATTATTGTCGCCACACATGCAACAATAAATATACGATCGTAAGAAATTTTGCTAATACTATTCTTATTTTCAGATCCTGATAAAGATACACGACGAAAACAAACCATTAGATCTTCCTATTCTCGCTTATCCACGATATTTCTGCAAGTATCACATGTCTTATATCATTTTGGGCGGCTTAGGTGGCTTCGGTTTAGAATTAGCCGATTGGCTGATTCTTCGCGGAGCAAAGAATCTTCTTCTGACTTCACGGACCGGATTGCGAAACGGTTACCAGCGCTCAAGAATAGAACTATGGAAATCTCACGGGGCAAATGTGCAAATTATCGCGGGTGCTGATGCGTCTGATCACAAGGATTGCGCATTCATCTTAAATTCTGCCGCTGAAATGGGACCGGTGGACGCTATATTTAACCTTGCTGTGGTGTTGAAAGATTCTCTCTTTAAGAATCAAACCGCTGAATCCTTTGAAGTATCATTCAAGCCGAAAGCAATGGCGACGAAGACGATGGACGAACTGTCCAGAAAGATGTGCCCTAATCTGCAGCACTTTGTCGTCTTCTCGTCCTTCTCGTGCGGTCGAGGAGCTGCCGGAATAACCAATTATGGGATGGCCAATTCTATCATGGAGAGGATATGTGAAAGGAGAGTACAAGACGGATTACCTGGAATGGCTATTCAATGGGGTTCGGTGGACGAAGTGGGCATCATGTCCGATATGCAGACGGATAAGGAACAAAACTTCACTGGTATTTTGAAACAAAAAATACAGTCATGCTTGCAGTCGCTAGATACTTTCATGGTTCTAAATCGGACGATCGTGAGCAGTATAGTTATAGCTGAGAAATATGCGGAACTGGATGGAATGATGAATATTTTGGACACCGTAACTAGTATCATGGGTAATCTTTTCTTCATAAGTATGATAAATCTATACGTTTTGAGATTTTTGCGATGAAACACTAGGTATAATTGAAAATTATAGTCATGATAAGAATATTGTACGTATTTTTTTTTCGTACCTTCTGTTATAAATGAAAAAATGTGACCGTAGCTAGAAATCAAAAGCCTTATCTCTTTCCATCTTTGACCTTCTAGGAGTGAAAGACATGAAAATGGTCGGACTTCGCACTCCATTATCAGAAATAGGTATGGATTCGATGATGGCGGTGGAGATCCAACAAACGTTAGAACGAAAATTCGATATTAACTTTACGACGCAAGATATTCAAAATCTCACTTTCGAGAAACTCCGCAATATAGTCGACAAAGACAAATGTTCCGAGCAGACCAAGATACTTGATTTGGCATGTGTCAAATTTATGATTCATTTAGTGAGCAATTTAGACATCGTTTCAGATATTTGCTTGGAGATGACAACGAGAAATGAGGCAGGCAAAAAGCAAATATTTCTTCTACCAGGAATCGAAGGTTGCGGGAGCGTATTTAATTCGTTAGCTTCCAAAATTAAAGTTCTCGTAACATGCTTGCAGCACGGAGCAAACAACATCCCCATGTGCGAATCTGTGCTGCAGTCGGCTGCCACTCTGTTATCTGTACGTATTGATATAATAGGGAAGTTATCTGTTCCATATTTCAGTGACCGTATTCCACTCGATTAGAATCGCATTATATCGATCAAGAAATAAAATAGGAAAAGAAAAAAACTTTTAAAGAATATTATGTTTCTTGTAAAGAATATTTTATATTTCTTGAAAAAGTATTTTATGTTTCTTGTAGTATTGGGTGAGTGCAAAAGTTCGTGCGGAGTTTGTGAGTAAAAGTCACACAGTGATTAGGCAAACAAAAATCTTTATTCAATCAATGATATATTCTCCATCGTTTTCTATAATCTTTTCCCAACGTTCTGGCAGCATACGGATGCCTCGATCATAAAAACTGCGCGGTTTAGATTCGAAGAACGAAGAGACGCCGTTTTTTAAGGCCTCCAAAGAGTCAAAGTTTTTTCCATTTAAATAATTTTGCAATGACCGGAACAAGTGATAGTCAGATGGTGCGATATCAGGAGAATACGGTGGATGCGTTAAGACATCCCATTTCAGGCTCTTCAGTTTGCGCAGCGTCTTTTTCGAAACGTGTGGTCTGGCGTTGTCGTGATGAAAGACGACTCCCTTGCGATTTGACAAAATCGGACGTTTCTCTTTTATTTGTCGATTCAGATTGGTTAATTGGGGACAGTACTTGTCCGAATCAATCGTTTCGCCAGCGGGGAGAAGCTCGAAATAGATTATGCCCTTGCAATCCCACCAAACAGAGAGCATCACCTTCATCGGGTGCAAACTGGCCTTTGGCATTGCGTCACCATGCTCACCTGATTGTTTCCATGTCCGTTTGCGCTGAACATTGTTGTAGAGGACCCATTTCTCATCGCCCGTCACTAGTCGATCCAAAAACGATTCGTTATTGAGCCGCCCGAGAGTAGAATAGCTAGGCCGGTTCTAACCCAGAAGCGCTGAGGGGGACGCGGGGGAAGCAGGGAACTCAGGGCGCGGGGTATGACGTTGCGCGGGGAAGGGGAACTCATGGTGGGACGTCACGCATACGTCACGAGAAAAAAAATGTGGTGGGACGTCACGCAAGATGGTGACCGTGATGTCATGCATACGTCACGAGAAAAAATGTCATATAATGTGTTTTAAATGTCCCCTCGTAATTATCAAACTGAAATAATATACAGAGAACTGAAATTATATACAGTGTTTATATAAAATAACTAGTATGTTTTGACCGAAATAGTTATAGTACATATCGAACATCTCTCCAACGTCTCTCGAACGTCTATTGAACGTCTCACGAACGTCTCACGAACGTCTATCGAACGTCTATCAAACATCTATAGGTATTTTTATCAATATAATTAACATAATTAACATAAAAAACCCTAAGAAAGGGGATAAGGGGAAGTTGGAAGAAAGGATCTGGTCTAAAGTAAAAAAGATGTATCATAATATATAACAAAGTAATTTATTTATACTTTTATTACAATTTGTAAACGCTGCAATATAATGGTGCTGTGTATTATAATATCACATTTTGACCAAAATATTTTTGTCAGCCGTCGACCTCCCAGACTGCTGATACCAAATCGTAGGTCTACAAGTACTATTGTGGTATCAGATAAAGAAATGTATGCATATCTTATCATAGGATGCCTGCGAAGCATTTAGTGCTGCATCATGTAAAGATATGACTATTTTGGCTAGGTTTTTCCGGGAGTTATAATAACGAGAAGAGTGGCAAAAGTGAAGCATATAGATTTAATTTTGTGTGTATTTACCAGTCAGAGCTCTTTCAGTATGGATCGTGAAAACATAGAGCATGAAGAAGTAGAAGACGAAGAAATAGAAAACGAAGAAATAGAAGACGAAGAAGTAGAAGACGAAGAAATAGAAAACGAAGAAATAAAAGACAAAGAAGATATAAATCATATACTCACGGATGATAGTAATTATGATTAGTGACAATAGTAATCAATTAGTGAATGAAAAAGTGAAGAAATTGGAAGTTTCAGAAATTAATACTTTGAATGACCAAACAAAAGTGTGTTGCATTTATTTTTCATATAATTCTGGAGACAATTTACGGTTCTGCACATCATGTTTTGTTGATGGTGTTCGTGATACAGTTACAGAAATATTTGTAGTGCGCAAACACATCACCGAAAGACACGATGTGATTGATGGTGTATTTTGTTCAAACTGTAGAAACCCCGTCTACCAAATAACACCATGTAATCTGTGTCCAATATGTATGCACTAATATGACATATTTAAAACAGAATTCTTATATACAGTACAAAAACTTCATCCAATACACTATACAAGATAAAAAGAAGCAGGAAGAATGTAATAACGATATGTGTGTGTGCGTGTGTGTGCGCATGTGGAAGACAGAAGAGCTATAAAAAAGTTCAAATCAGAACATTCTATAATTTAGTCGAAGACAAACAGAGTGGACGCTAGACTGCTGATACCAATCATAGGTCTATAAGTCTATTATTGTATCAGATAAAGAAAGGCATGCACTTAGGCAAAGTCCACAACGAGTTGATATGAATTTAAGACTCAGGAATGTGTTTAATAGTTCGTCGAGGAAGTTTCCCGAATTTTGATAATGGCATGTATTTGTGAAAGAGTTAAGGGCTATAAAATGTTCAAAGCAGAATATTCTATAGTTTAGTCTAAGACGAGCAGAGCGCGCAGTTACAGTGTGTTTACAACGTTTTGCTAGAAAAATGGCAGAATCATCATTATCATCATTATCAACCGTAGAACGTGAACTGCAGAACCAGGCCGCTCAATTAGGCTCGCTAGACGAATACCTCGCATGGGAACAAAAGTGCGGCGAGTGTCTCGAGTCGTTGGAACAGCATAGCCGAGCCAAACAACCAGTGACTATCGGTTGGTTCAGCGCACTCGATGGTTGCTCGTATAGCGCAACTCGAGGGTTTAAAAAATACTTTGCGCAGACGTTTTGTATACGCAGGAGCCGGACATTCGACACTTGTTTGGCGAGAAATCGATACAGCGTTCAATAGTCGCATATCAACCGGGGCGATTGTAAATACAGACTATATCGACCCTCTTCGATTTCTCCAGGATGTGAAGAATATCGTGCTCGAGCATGTGCGAAGCGTTATGAAGAGACATGGTAGCATAAAAGTGAATACTGTGTTCAACGGTGAATTTGTGGCAGGTGATAAACGCGCGAACAAGAGCATTAATACGAGGAACGTTGAACTTTTTTTCACATCCGATCTAGACAATTGGTTCGCGATGCGTGTTATCGAACCCACCTTAGCGTCCATGGAAGAATTTCAGGAACGAGATAGCGGGTGGGCACTCTCGCGCATACTTAATCTGACCGTTAATGTTAACAAGTACAATCCATTACATTCGGGATGTCATATCGAGTTACCGCGCGAAATAAAAATGAAGCGGGCTATAATCAACGTGCAATCTATGGACAATGCATGTTTCGCATGGGCAGTGGTTGCAGCGTTATGTCCAGCCGACAAACACGCAGATCGTCAATCTTCGTACCCACACTATACATCGGTTTTGAATATGCAGGACATTGAATTTCCAATGCGCATAAATCAAATTAAAAAGTTTGAACGGTTGAACGATATCTCGGTCAACATTTATAGTGTGGAGAAGAGATATGACAACGCGACAAAGAAAGAAGGAAACGTGGTCGCACCTATACGTCTTACGGAACAGAAAATGGAGAAGCATGTCAACCTGCTGCATATCCCAGATCCGCGAGATGATGATAACGCTGGGCACTTCGCGTGGATCAAGAATTTGTCCCGACTCGTCAGCTCACAACTGAGCAAAAAGAAACACAAAAAACATATTTGCGACCGGTAAGTATACACAAAGAACGCAATGTATAATGTGACATATACTAATAACAAATAATGTTTTTCCAGATGTCTACATTACTTCAGCTCGAGCGAGAAGCTGGAGAACCATACCGTCGGCTGTCAAAAAATGAATAACTGTGCCATCATCTTGCCAAACGATGACAACAAATGGCTCAGCTTCACCAACTACTGCAGGAAGGAGCGGATCCCGTTTATAGTTTACGCCGACTTGGAATGCATCCTGGAGAAGACACCGAGGGAAGAACAAACGAGTTCGTATGCGTATCAACATCATAGCGTATTTAGTATAGCATATTACGTTCGATGTTCCTACGACGAGTCATTATCCGCGTATCGATGTCGTCGCGATCGGGATTGCATTTCATGGTTTGTCAAAGAACTTGAAGAACTGGCACATCGTGTAAAGGATATTTTGTCCGCAAATGTCCCCATGGAAACTTTGTCGAAAGAACAGTGGGAGACATTTCAAAACGCTATGCTGTGCCATGTGTGCGAGAAATCATTCGCAAAGGATGATACACGCGTGCCCGATCATTGCCACCTGACTGGACGGTACAGAGGTCCCGCGCATTCCAATTGCAATCTAAATTATCAAGACAGTTATTGCATTCCCGTGGTCTTTCACAACTTATCCGATTATGATTCACACTTTATCATCAAAGATATAGCAACCATGTTCGAAGGTTCAATCACTGTACTACCGATAACCAAAGAGAAATATATTTCATTTACAAAGACTGTAGGAAACATGATGGATAGTAAGAATAAATGGAAAAATTGTATACAATTGCGGTTCATCGATTCGTACAAATTTCTCAGTAGTAGTCTCGATAAATTGGCGTCTTTTCTCGACAACGACAAATTAAAAATTGTTCGGTCCGAATTTTCAAATTTGTCCGACAAGGATTTTGATTTTTTGACGCGAAAGGGGGTCTTTCCGTACGAATTCCTTGATTGCGCGGACAAGCTGCAGGATCGGTGTTTACCGCCGCGCGAGTCATTTTACAGTTCGTTGACGGGTGACACGGTATCTGAGAGCGATTACGCGCACGCCACGAACATCTGGCAACGGTTCGCCATTCAAACCTTAGGTGAATATAGCGACTTGTATCTGAAGATTGATGTCTTGTTGCTGGCCGATATTTTTGAAAATTTCCGCAATAGTTGTATCAAAAGTTATGGGTTAGATCCCGCGTATTATTACACTTTGCCTGGTTTTACGTGGGATGCTATGTTGAAGCATACGGGCGTTAATTTCGAACTGCTCACTGATATCGATATGGTCATGTTCATCGAGCGCGGTATTCGCGGTGGCCTCAGTCAATGTTCCGGTAGATATGCAAAAGCCAATAACAAGTACATGCAGTCTTACGATCCATTGCAACCATCATCATACTTGATGTACTTCGATGTAAATAACTTGTATGGTTGGGCAATGTGTCAACAGTTGCCATACGCCGAATTTCGATGGGTCGATGATGTATCGAATTTCGACGTATCATCAATCGCACTAGATTCACCTATAGGTTACATTCTGGAGGTTGACTTAGAGTATCCGCAACATCTGCACGACGCGCACACTGACCTACCGTTCTATCCGACACGGGGCAAACCGCCAAACAAAAAGCAGGACAAGCTTCTTGCAACCTTATGCGATAAGCAGCGTTATGTGATTCATTATCGCAACCTGCAGCAGTGCACGCGTCACGGTTTTCGTATTGGAAAGATACACCGCATACTCAAATTTGCTCAGTCTCCATGGCTCCGCGATTATATCGAACTTAATACGCAGTTTAGAACACGCGCGACAAACGATTTCGAGAAAAATTTGTACAAATTGATGAACAACGCGGTGTTCGGTAAAACTATGGAAAACGTTCGCAATCACGTAGACGTAAAACTATTGACAAAATGGGATGGACGATACGGTGCTGAGGCAATGATTGCGAGACCAAATTTTCATAGCAAAAGTGTCTTTTCGGAAAATTTAATCGCCGTTGAGCTACGTAAACTTGAGGTGAAATTCAACAAGCCGATCTATGTGGGTATGTGTATCCTTGACATATCCAAGATCTACTTGTACGAATTTCATCACGAGTACATGTCTCCTCTGTATCAGAACAGATGTAAAGTAATGTACACCGATACTGACAGTTTAATCTACCATATCCAATGCGATGATATTTTCGAGCACATGAAACGTGATATTTCTAAGTTTGATACGAGTGATTATCCCGCTGATAATGCGTACGGTATACCGCTTGTCAACAAAAAGGTACCAGGTCTGATGAAAGATGAAAATAACGGAGCGATTATGACGGAATTCGTCGGGCTCAGAGCAAAGATGTACATGCTAAAGGTAGACAGCAAAAATGATACGAAGAAGGCGAAAGGTGTGAAGACCAATGTCGTAGCGCGAACTATAACGTTTGATGATTATATGCAGTGTCTGAGAGATGAGGTCGAAAAGCAACGTCGTCAGTCATGCATACGATCCAAAATGCACAAAGTCTACACCGTGTCCGAACTGAAAACTGCTCTGAGTCCGTATGATGACAAGCGGTATATCGTACCGAACTCAACAGACACTTTACCATGGGGACATTACAGGATACAATTGTAAACTAAAAAGCGATCATTGTGCATACATGTATATTGTAAAATGAAAAGTGATCATTGTACATATATTTGTTTGTAAGAAATATTGTTAACTATAATAAAAGATGGTTTATTACAAGCTGTTTATAATAGGATATTGTAATAAAAAAATGTTTATAATAAAGAATTGGTTAAAATACATTTTCTTTGTGTATCCAAGAGTTGTGCGAATTATCAAATCCCAACCATTTCACTAAAACCTTGTCGCCGCTTTTTCGCAACACCTTTTCCACGAGATAAACGTCAGGATTAGCAGCGTGATGCAGTTCGTATTCGTAAAATCCTCCGGCAATAGACTTTCCGCGAGAATCCTCGAGCAGATAGGTCGCTGGATTAGTTGTCTGCACTTTGACGATTTTAAACACTTCGGTTGTCCAATTCGGTGTATAGCCTTTTTCAAAGATGGTTTTGAATTTGCTCACGCGTACCAGATCACCCACACTTTGAATCTCGCAGGCGCAGCGATCTTTACGTTGTTGTAGACTGTGTGTAGAAGCTTATCAGCGATTTCGGGTGTCACATCGATAGGACGCATGCCGATAGTTCGATGTTTCCGTGTGTTGTACTCCATGATAAGGTGTGGTAACGAGTCGATCCATTTGTATGTTCCATTCAACGTAAACATTTTCCACATGTCGTTCTTTAACGTGCGGTTGAATCGTTCCACAACAGATGCCTTCATCACCGAGTACGTAGAATAATGATTGATACCGTGTTTTTTAAGGAGTTTCTGCAGATCCGCATTATAAAATACTTTTCCCTGGTCCGTTTGCAAATTTTTCGGACATCTTCCAGATTCTTGAAATATCCTGGCGAACACTGCCACTGCTTCTTTACCGCTCTTGCTCTTCATCGGTACAGCCCACGCATATTTGCTCCACACATCGATAATAGTGAGTATATAGTGGTAGCCTCTATTGAATCGCGAGTAAGGACGCATCTCTACCAAGTCAGCTTGCCAAAGATCATCGTATCCACGCACTATGACGCGTCTACGGGGAAAATATCTTCTCGCTGGAGCGTGCAACTCCTCCACCGATGCTTTTCGTTACCGATGAGCTGCTTCTCTGAACTTTTCTTCTTTTTGTTAAATTTTGATGATTACTTCGCCATTGCAGCTTGTGATGATCCGTCTCTCGCTATATTGATACTATATGTCAATTTAACTATAATATTCTACTTTTAAATTTCCCCTGATTTCTTTATCTCTGAGCGTGTCCAGTCTAAAATTATGGTATTGATACAGTAGTCTATCTCTCCATTCTAAGTAAATATAAAAACTATATCTTATCATTTTGAAAAAGATAAGTAGTTGTAGACCTTTTACGTCTGCGCATCACCATCCCCACTACTTTCTCTATTCTCTACGGGGAAAAACATACGGTGTTGAGACTGGCGAAGCATTCAAGCTTCGTTGCTCCTACTTGCAGCATAGCTAGTTCTCGTTATTACAAGTTATTAACAAGTTCTTGGAAGAAAAATGTTCGGCGCTAACGTGGATACCGCTCTCAAGAAGACGTCGAAGAAGACGAGCAGTCTCTCTACAGAAGTGGGAAACGACCGTAACATGCTTCTATGTACGACGTACGCGCTCAACAATTCAGACACTAAGAGGATGCAGGTTGGATTGCGCACCACTTACGACATGGGTCCATTTGAGCCAACGATCAGGATCATGGGGAACACGTCTTCAGGAATTCTCCTTGATTTGAATACGTGGGAGAAGTTTAAAGATATTATACCCTCTGCAAATTCTTATTTGTGTGGGGAAAATAAGAATACACCAACCTCTATCATCATCAACAATATCAGCATCAACTTTACCTCAGCGTATGGTGCACGAGCTGTAATAGTGAGTCAGCGAGGGAAAATGCTGGACGAGAGCGGACCTGCGAAGAAGACATCGGAGGAGTCTACGCATCTGAAGCAACCGCCGCTGAAGAAGCGTAAGCTGTATACGGAGAATATTATAATGCAGAAGACATCTCTCGGTGGTCTGCAAACTGTCACAAAATGTATCGATGCTAGATACGAATATTTACAAGCGGTTGCCGCTCTTGTGAGTAATTGCAAATATATTTTAGTAGGCGAAATAGAACTTAATCTCACGAAGGAAGGTGTAAACGAAGATTTCGTAAAACGGACGCTCGTTGATAAATATCGCGAAATCGAGGAAAATGTACGACGGCAAATGAAAAATTTACAATTTTTAGACACATATTTTAATATTGTATTTCGTGAATTGACTACGATTCATTTAAATGAAATTATACACGAGATTATAACAAACGCAGAATGCTACGAGTGTTTGCGAAACTACGAATGTAACTTCAAAAATAAAATGTGAATTTATTTTATAAAAATGTTGTATATTCCTTTCTCCCCACCTCTTTTCTCTTCCCTGCGATCTCCAATTCGTTGTAACAAAACCCAACTTAACTTAACTTTTCGAGTTCGAAAGCGAAGGGGACACACAGGTAAAAATATATTCTACTTTTATATTTCCGCTGATTTCTTTATCTCTGAGCGTGTCCAGTCTAAAATTTGGTCTATGTTCTCATGAATGCTATTTATGCTCTGTATGTTTTTTTTCCGGTAGTCTTCCAGCCAATCCTTCAATTTTTTAACATTCTCATCTACATACTGCTTCATCTCAATGTTACTCTCATGCAGTAGAAGCTTTACAGCATTTATATTCTCATCGATATACTGTTTCTTCTCAACGTTACTTTCATGCAACATAAGTTTTACAGACTTTATACTCTCATCCACATAATATTTGTGCGCAGCGTCATTGAAGGCTTCCGGCTGCGGTACATTATGTATCGCATACATTTTTGCATCGAAACATTTGCCATCACGACCTTTACTATTGGCGGTTAGACAAAGGGCATTTTCATGTACATATCGTTTGGTTGCAACGTTGTTTAAATGATATCTGACACCTGCAACACATTCTTCCACGTATTGTTTGGTTGCAACGTCACTATCGGCTTCAGGTTGCGCTACATGTTGTATCTTGCGCGACTTTGCGTCGAAAACTTTGGCAGCGTTTAAACAAAGAGCATTTTCATGTATGTAATCTTCAACATGTTCATTCCATTGATGCGCTTCGATCGGAGAACTATTGCTGTCTGGCAATACTCCAAACTTATGCGTCGACATTTCGGAGCAAGCTGTGTCGATGCTCTCGACTGGCTGACGATTGACTGACTGACTGACTCGTGTCAGTGCAGCGTTGTTTAATTTATAATAAGACCAGCTTCGCGGAGTTCTTCGATAATCGATAAAATTTCGTTGTCATGAGCGTTGTTGCCGGCTTGGCGCGAAGCGTCAAGCAATCGCAAACGATCCACCAGCTCGTTGGGATCATCCCAATGCACGTAATCGATATTGTTGTCATTTAAGGTCATCATAGCTTGAGATGCATATAAACCTTTTCCGGCCACTTTATCGCTCGACGCATGTGATACTAGGGGCGCGATTATATGTTTATATTTGTGTCCCTTGTTACCGAGTATCGGATTTTGCGGGAGGTACCCGCGTCTGTGAGCATTCGTCGCCAATAGTATACTTTTGTATTTTTGCATATCAGCCTCGGTGTACACAGAATCGTCGGGGATTCTTTTGAATATTAGCTCGTAAAGACCGGGTGTTCCAATGTATCCTGTTCCGCCTATGATTATATTATCGTCTCTGTCCACATCGACACGTTTATCACCGAGCATTGCTCCATCGTTACTAAGACGTACACCGTAAACATAATCTATAGTGTTATCTTTTCTACTACTTAGCACAGCCCCCATATATTTTTGACCCAACGGACCAAAATGATCATGTAAAGTTTGTTGTCCTTTGTACGTTCGCAACTGACGTATAACGGATGTCATTACCGGTTTATCGGGGGTTTCGAAAACATTCTCATCATCATCATCATCATCAGTGAGTAGATTGTTGATCGGTGAAGATTCATGTGGTTCCTCATATTGTAGAGCTTCGATGTAGAAACTATCGAAGGATCATTGAATAGTTTCCGTTTCAGCGGAGTCAATGCGGCTGGTGAAAGTTTCGCCTTACGCTTTATCTTTTTTTCGGGTTTTAATATTATACTCTTTGTTTCTTCGCTTGTACTCATTGATAGTGGAGCAGTTTTAACATCAACGTTACTTTCCACATTAGCGCTGCTTCCCGCGATTTGCTTGAGAGGTTCAATAATAGGTTTAAAGTGTCTCTCCAATGCAGCATTCTCAATAATTCTACCGGTTTTCAAAGCGCGATACTTCTTGCGGATCGATTCGCTCGTTTTCGCAATCTCTTCCGCTACCTTTCCACGATTCTCAATCTTCATGCTACTATTCATCATTGATATATTTGTCTCGTGGACGTTGAAGATGTTACCACGTTGAGGTTGCAACGACGATTGAGCATCTCACAGCACAGCAAAGTCGTTAAATCGTTTCCTATATCGTCCGTTGGTCATTGAGCTGTCCTTATCAATCACTGTGAAACCATATTTATCCTCCCAACATTTGCGACACAATGCACTGAAATCTTCATATGACATGTCGGTATTCACATGATCGTTGTACACATGTTTCAAATTGGTACCATCCTGTTTAAAGAGAATCAGAAAATTTGCATTGTCTCGTATAAGATGCTTGAGTATTTTTGCGTACGTTTGACAGAGATAGAAACAGTCAACGTTCGAATGACGACCCATGGCAAAGTATTCTCTTATGGTATCTTGCTTGTCACATGCCACATCGTCAAAGATAAAAATAGAATTTTTGGACGCTTCGGTCGTTGGAATCACGTCGCTGTTATCGGAGAATGTAAAGTATCCAATTTCATCTATCGGTTTCAACAAATTTTCCAAGTAGCGATATTTAGGTTGTTGCAACGATTTTGAGTACACGTACAAGTTCTCGAAACGCAGACCGTGCAGACTTTCCAGCAAGCTGATGA